AAGGACTAGATCTCTCAAAACTACATGAAACCCTCCGTACCCATACTTGCCCGGTGAGCCTATTTAATACCACCTTCACTGGGCTCCATGAGGTCTCGGCCCAAAACCTTACTTACTGTTGGATGTGCCTCTCCCTGCTCTTCAGGCCATATATTTCAATCCCTGTACCTAAACAATGGAACAATTTCAGCACAAAAATAAACACCACTTCCGTTTCAGTAGGACCTCCTGTTTCCAATCTGGAAATAACCCATACCTCAAACCTCACCTGTGTAAAATTTAGCAATACTATAGACACAGCCAACTCCCAATACATCAGGTGGCTGACTCCTCCCACACAAATAGTCTGCCTACCCTCAGGAATATTTTTTGTCTGTGGTACCTCAGCCTATCATTGTTTGAATGGCTCTTCAGAATCTATGTGCTTCCCCTCGTTCTTAGTGCCACCTATGACCATCTACACTGGACAAGATTTATACAATCATGTTGTACCTAAGCCCTGCAACAAAAGAGTACCCATTCTTCCTTTTGTTATCAGAGCAGGAGTGCTAGGTGGACTAGGTACTGGCATTGGTGGTATCACAACCTCTACTCAGTTCTACTACAAACTATCTCAAGAACTAAACGGTGACATGGAATGGGTCGCCGACCCCTCCAGAGGAAATCTTAGCTACACAACCCCTACTATGCCCTAGTTCAGCAGGAGCAGTTAGAGTGGTAGTCGGCCACCTCCCCAACAGCACTTGGGTTTTCCTGTTGAGAGGGGGGACTGGGAGACAGGACTAGCTGGAGTTCCTAGGCCGACTAAGAATCTCTAAGCCTAGCCGGGAAGGTGACTGCATCCACCTTTAAACACGGGGCTTGCAACTTAGCTCACAGGCCGAACAATCAGGTAATAAAGAGAGCTCGCTAAAATGCTAATAAGACAAAAAAAGGAGGTAAAGAAATAGCCAATCATCTATCGCCTGAGAGCACAGCAGGAGGGACAATGATCGGGATATAAACTAGGCATTGGAACCAGCAACAGCTACCCTCTTTTGGTCCCCTCCCTTTGCATGGGAGCTCTGTTTTCATTCTATTAAATCTTGCAACTGCACTCTCTTCTGGTCTGTGTTTGTTATGGCTCAAGCTGAGCTTTCACTCACCATCCACCACTGCTGTTTGCCGCAGTCACAGACCCGCCACTGACTGCCATCCCTCCGGATCCAGCAGGGTGTCCACTGTGCTCCGGATCCAGCTAGGCGCCCTTTGCTGCTCCTGATCGGGCTAAAAGCTGCCATTATTCCTGCACGGCTAAGTGCCCGAGTTCGTCCTAATTGAGCTGAACACTAGTCACTGGTTCTCTTCCGTGACCCACAGCTTCTAATAGAGCTATAACACTCACCACATGGCCCCAGATTCCATTCCTTGGAATCCGTGAGGCCAAGAACCCCAGGTCAGAGAACATGAGGCTTGCCACCATCTTGGAAGGGGCCCGCCGCCATCTTAGGAGCTCTGGGAGCAAGAAGCCCCCGGTTAACAGTTTCACAAAAACTCTGTCATTTTCAAGTTTAAACTTAGTCAAGTCGTAGTGTCCCATTTCTAGGAATTTATCCTAGAGATAGACTAGCTCAAGTACGAACCACGCAAGGATAAGATTATTCATCGCAGCTTCATCTGTAACAGCAAAAGACTGAAAACAACCTAAATGTTCATCCTACAGAGCTGTTGAAATGCATCTCGGGCCAGCCCTTCCATGGAATGCTACACATACCCCCTAAAAAGAGAACCAGGAAGCTCTCCAGGCAAAAATATGAAAAGTTCTCCAGCAAATGTTGTCAAGCATAAGAAGATACGAAACTGTGTATGCCATATGTTAGCATTTGTATATATCCAAGATATTTCTAGAATGATGCAAAAAAATTTTTAACAGTGGTGGCTCTGGAGAAAAGAAATGAGTGAAGAATGGTGAGGAGAGGGACAGAAAAGTGGGAGGAAAATTTAATTTTTACTGTGAAGCCTTTTGTACCTTTCAAAACATTTTATTGAGGTAAAAATCACATAACATTAAATTCACTGTTTTAAAATGTAGGATTCATGGCTGGGCATGGTGGCTCACACCTATAATCCCAGTACCTTGGGAGGCTGAGAGAGAAGGATCCTTTGAGGCCAAGAGTTCAAGACTATCCTGGGAAATATAGCAAGACCTTGTCTCTACAAAAAAATTTAAAAATTAGCCAGGCATGGTGATACATGCCTGTAGTCCCAGTCACTTAGGAGGCTGAAGTGGGAGGATCACTGGACCCTGGGAGTTTGAGGCTGCAGCGAGCTACAGTCACACCACCGCATTCCAGCCTGAGCAACAGAATGAGATCCTGTCTCAAAATAAAAAAAAGAAAATGTACAATTCAGTGACATTTAGTACATTCACAGTGTTGTGCAACCATCATCTCTATCTAGATTCAAAACATGTTCATCACCCCAAAAGGAGACCCCATACTCATCAAGCAGTTAGTCCCCTTTGTACATTTTCATGTTCCACTGTATCAGTCAGGGTTCTGCAAAAAACAGATGGCCCCCTTAAAAGGGGCAGGTGAAGAACTTAATGAAGGGACAAATAGGTGAGGACAGTGTTAAGGGAACCACAGGGGATGGTAAGGCAGCTGCAGGGAGCTAGACACTTCTGACCTGAAGGAGCTGGGGAGGAACTGTTCCCCCTGAGGCCAGAGCTGGCCGGAGGGGCTGCTGCTAGAAGGACAAGGATGCACCTGCTGCCAAAAGTGTGGCCAGCCAGGAGGGAAGGAGGAGAATAAAAACTCCAACCTTTCTTTCTCTCCACCTTCTGTCCTGCCACCACCTGGCATTGGCCTGACAACCAGAGGCCAGAGGCTGGGAGCCCAAGGGATGCTCACACAGGGCAGCTCTGGGGACAGAGCAAGGGGAGAGAGTAGAGAGGGAATCTGGGGCAAACAGAATAACTGGCATGTTGCTTGTCTTTATTTTTCAAAATGAAATGAGCCATTCAAAAAGTTCAGCTGAATCAGACTCCACTACGGCCTGACCTTTTCAACACCATGTCCCAGCCTGGAACTTCTGTTGCTATGTTCCCTTTGTCCTGGTTGCCAGGTGGGGTCAGCCCTGTTCTTAGTGACTGCAGAATGACCATGTTCCCATCAGCCTCTGTTGCCAGCCCACCAACTTTCTCCTCCAGCAGCCACTTGACCCTCAGTTCACTGACTGCCCTGGCAAGGGGGTCTGCTGGGCCTTTTTGCTCTTAGTTCCTTGAAGCCATCTTTTCTCTGTGGACTGTGCTGAGCACTCTGGGGGCCCTGTCGCTTTCTTGGGCCACCTCAGGTCCTTGTTATGCTCAGACCTCGAAGATCTGCCCAAGGAAGGTCTTCTTAAGGCCCTCCCCAGGGCCTTGCCTCTGTTTGAACTATCTTCCCCTTCTTGGTTCCCTGGATCTATAAGAATCTGAGGGAAGGGGAAGGAAGGGGTGTTGGGAATAAAAAACTTACACATTTTTCCAAACCTTCCCAGGCTTTCATCTTGACCCAGGCTTTTGAACTTCAGAGCTGAGCATTCTATGTCTTTTTCTCTGATTATGGTTCTCCTCGGGTGGGGAGACACTGACTTGTCACTTACAGTGGTGTCTCACTGGATCCCTCCGATCAGCCCATGGGCAAAGGGCTCCCCATCACCTTCTCACGTCCAGCTGGAGCTGGTGGCCACTTTGGCCCACCCCAGGCCATCACCCTCATGATTCAAGCAGTTAAAACTGAGGCCAGGAGAGGGCAGAGATCTGCCCAAGATCATGGTGGAGGGCGAGTCAGTGGGAGATTCAGGCCTTGCAGCCGGACCCCAGACCTCCCGCTCAGTGTACCTTCAACAGCATTAGGAAGGTAGCATTTGGGGGCCTGTGGCCTGAGACCGCGAGTTTGATAGAAGGCAGCCCAGCTTTTTCTCAGTTACCTGCCTTCACCAGAAGCATCACCTGTGGCCCAGCTGGACCTATTTCTTCTTGGGGACATCTCATATGTATCCTCACTAACACCTCCTGTACACAATGTATATGGAATTGAATTGTGTCCCCAAGCAAATTCATGTCTACCCAGAGCCTCAGAATGTGATCTTTTTTGAAAATAGGGTCTCTGCAGATACAGTTAGTTAAGATGAAGTTCTATGGCATCAGGGAAGGCCCTACTCCAATGACCGGTGTCCATGTAAGAAGAGAAAATAGGAACATAGACTGCTATGGTTGGAAAATTTCCAACAAATTTCATATGTTGGAAACTTAACCTCAAAATTCTTATGTTGATTGGAGGTGGGGCCCTTGGGAGGTAATTAGGATTAGGTAAGGTCATCAGGGTGGGGTCCCATGTTGAAACTGGAAACTACGAGAGGAAGAGAGACCTGAGCTGGCACCACACTCTTGCCCTCTCACCATGTGATGCCCTCCACATTATGATATAGCAAGAAAACCCTCACCAGATGCCAGTACCTTAATATTGGACTTCCAGCCTCCAGAGCTTTAAGAAATCAATTTTGTGTGTGTGTGTGTGTGTGTGGGTGTGGGTGTTTTTTTAAATTTGTTTGTTTTGTTTTTTGAGGCAGGGTCTCACTCTGGTTGCCCAGGCTGGAGTGCAGTGGTGCAATCATGGCTCACTACAGTCTCAACCTCCCAGACTTGAGTGATCATCCCACCTCAGCCTCCCAAGTGGCTGGGGCCACTGGCCCACACCACGGCGTGGAACCCAGCTAATTTTGTTTTATTTTTTGAAGATACAAAGTCTCACTATGTTGCTCAGGATGGTCTTGAACTCCTAGGCTCGAGCGATCCTCCCACCTTGGCTTTCCAAAGTGCTGAGATTAAAGGCATGAGCTTCCATACCCAGCCTATTTTCATTATGAATTGCCCAGTCTGAGGTATTCAGTGAGAGCAACAGAAAATGGACCAAGGCTTTGACACAGAGGAAAGACAGCCATGTGAGGACAGAGGCAGAGGCTGGAGAGCTGCACATGCAAGCCAAGGAACACCCAGGATGGCCAGTGACCACCAGCAGCTGGGAGAGAGGCAAAGAAGAGTCTGCCCACAGCCCCTAGATGGAGTGTGGCCCTGCGCACATCTTCATTTCCAACATCTGGCCTCCAGAGCCATGAGAGAATATATTTCTGTTGTTGGAAGCCATCCAACTTGTGGAACTTTGTTACAGCAGCCCTGGGGAATGAATGCACGGTCTTAGAGGTGAGACTTTTGGTATTCAGAAAAAGGCCTTGTCCTATGTGAATTTCCCATCTCTTTATGGCTGCCTGAAAACCCACCCGTAACATGCTTCCTTCCTTTAGAAGAAGGGGCAGGTCCCGGCTTCTATTCAGATGTCCCTGGAAAGTCACATTCCTCGGTTGCCTCTATCATGTCTTCAGTGCAAATGCTTCTATAGACCATGTGACAGTTCTCAGTGTTGGAAATGTCTCCCTCCTTCCGCCGGGGTGGGCTCCCTCCTCAGATCTCCAGCCTCCACGCAGGACCTGGGGGAGGTGGACTGAGTGGGTGAGATCCCTCCCAGGGCAGCATTCGGCAGACTGCAAGTCAAGAGTGCAGAGTGTATGCAGCCAGGGGTAGCAGCCACTTCAGGATCTGGGTCTGGATTTGTGCTGAGAACCACTATGGCCTTTTAAAGCCAGTGAGGAGGTTTTCTGGGGGCCCAGAAGCCCTGAGCCCATTGGCCAGACCTCCTGGGAGAAGCGGAGCAGATTTGCATCAAAAAGAACACTGGCTTCATTGAAATTCTCCTCATCTTGAGTGAAACAAAACCACAAAGAAGAGGAAAGTTTTAATTCTGAGAAACTTCACTGAGGAGCTTTTTTTTTTTTTTTTTTTTTTAACTTCTAAAAATAGAGAGGAAATGAGCCTCTTTGGGTCACTCTAGTTGCCGCCTCCCCCCGCCCCATGCCTGCCCCCGCTGCCCACTCAAGGCCAGCCTCTCACAGTGGGTGACTGAGCTGTCTTCAGTGGAAGCCTGAGGCAGATGCCACGCAATTCTGGAGCTGGATACGGCTGCCCACACGGGGACCCCAGCATGCTGGACAGCAGAGAGACCCCACAGGAGAGCCGGCAGGACATGACTGTGGGGACCACCCAAGAAAAATTGAAAACCAGGTAAGTCGGTGGTTGGGTTTCTGCACACTGCACCTGTGGGCCGAGTTCTAGACTTTACTCTGCTGTGTGAACTTGGGCAAGTTGCTTCTCTCTCTGAGCCTCAGTTTCTTCACCTGGGAAATGAAGGGAAGGATCTGGGCAATCCGTAAGATGGAAGAAGAACCAGTCATTTGGAGGGTTACTTAGCATAGCCAAGAAAGGCTCATCAAAGAATGAGGCACATCCCAGGGGTATGAGCTGGGGCTGCAGTGGGAGACCCGTTGGATCTCAATTGGATGGAGGAGGAATTTTTTAGTCAAGAAGAACATTTCCCTGTCTTCTCAAGGGGGCCTTTTGCCTGCAGGTGTCAAAGACAGACAAGTTTTGTCGGCGAGCCAGAGGTTCTCGCTCCGGTTTGCTGTGTGACCTTGGCAAGTCCCTTTGCCCCTCTGGGCTGTAGCTTCCCTGTCTGAATATGAGTGCAGTGGCTGAGGTTTCCCTAAAGCCCTTCCACTGTGTATATTCCAGTGATCTGTGATTCAGAGGAAGCAGATTCAATGTGTCAGGCATTCACCAATGCCCACCCTGGCCCAGGCCCTATCCATCCAGGGAGTAGGGGATCCTGAGAAGATGGGACTCAGTCCCAGCCCTGGGATGCCCTGGTCAGGAGGCAGGAAGAAGGCAGGCACGCGCGCGCGCACACACACACACACACACAAACACACACACTGTGATTTGTGTCCAGGAGGGGCACAGGCTAAGGGGCAGAGAGAGGGAGGCTTCTAACTGGGGCGCCTGAGATGGACCTTGACAGTCAGAGTGGAGACAAGAGCAGTCGGCAGAGAGAACGACCTAGCAAAGCAAGATAGGAAGTATGGGGATGGGAGAAGTCTAGATGGTGGGCGCATAGAACCGGGGAGGACGGGAGCTAAATGCCAGGGCCCGAGCCCTCTGTAGTAATGGCGGGGAAATGCCAGTGTCTGAGCTTCCAAGACTATGGCCACTGTCCTGATGGGAGGTTATGGGGAAGGAATATAGAGGGAAATGGGAACAGATGTTAACACACCTCAGAGATGCAGAGGCCCCTCCGAGGGCTGGCAGCTGGGCCGTGCCCTGGGTCTCCGGAGGACCCTGCTAAGCCAAAGTGGACTCCCGTTCTCCCAGAAGCAAGGACTCCTCCCTGCAAAGCCTCCAGGAGCATGAGGGCCAGCCCATCCCTGGGCATAGGTCAGACGCACAGAGGGTCAAGGGCCCCTGGAGGAAAGTTGGACTGACTTCCTCACCCTAGGGCAGATTCAGGATCTCCTCTGGGCCCTGGTATCCTGGCACTTCCACTCCTCCCTGGGGCTTGTGGGCTCAGAGAGCAGGAAGGCCAGGCGAGATGCTCAGAGGAGCACATCGAAATGTGTCCAGAGACCAGGCACAATGGCTCACGCCTGCAATCTCAGCACTTTGGGATGCTGAGTCGGGTGGATTGCCCGGGGTCAGGAGTTCGAGACCAGCTTGCCCAATGTGATGAAACTCCGTCTCTACTAAAAATACAAAAATTAGCCAGGTGGTGTTACATGCCTGTAATCCCAGCTACTCAGGAGGCTGAGGCAGAAGAATCGCTTGAACCCGGGAGGTGCAGATTGCAGTGAGCCAAGACCGTGCCACTGCACTCCAGCCTGGGCCACAAGAGCAAAACTCCATCTCATAAAAAAAAAAAAAAAAGGAAACAAATGTGTCCAGAGCAGGGGTAGACAGGCATGAGGACAGCCAGGGCCAGGGGAGCCCTTGAAAACAAAAATCAAGGTCTGCAGGATCTCAGGGTCTTCTGCTCGCTATGAGTGAGGGGCCAAGTGGGGCTCAGGAGCCCAGTGGCTTTGACGTCCATGTCTCAGGCCTATGGTGAATAGGGGTGGCAGAGGGTCCTGTGTGCCCTGCAAGGCTCACAGAGGCCCGGGCTTGTTTTGCAGACATCACTGAAGGAAGGTAGGCAAACTTGAGGCAGAACCCTAGGCTTGTGCAGAGGAGGACTCCCTCCTGAAAGGGTAAATGGGTCTTGGGACCCTGTAGGGAAAGAGAAAGGCTAAAAACCCAAGAGTTGGAGTGCCAGTTCGACTACTTTCTTGCTGAGTGACTTTGGATACATTGTTTAACCTCTCTGGGCCTCAATAGCATCCTCTGCGCAAATAAATATAAAATGCCTGAACTTCATTGACACTGCGGAAAAATTGGGTGGATTCCACCAACTGATGTGTATGAAAATGTTTTCAAAGCACAAGAGTTACCCATCACAGGCATAGTAACCCTTACAGCGATATCCTGGAACGCTCTTAGCAGCAGGCTGGAGGGCACATGCCTTGGGTTCCAGTCCAGCTCTGCTCCTAACCCATTCTGTGACCCTTGGCAAGACACCTTCTCTGAGCCTCAGTTTCCCCATCTGTCAAACAGGGAAGCCAAACCTGCTCTGACATTCTTGCAGAGCAGCTGTGAGGAAAGAACTTAATTCTTGTTAAACATTGTTCTAAAGTCAGAGAGAGCCAGGTGCAGTGGCTCATGCCTGTAATTCTAGCACTTTGGAAGGCCAAGGAAGGAAGATTGCTCGAGTGCAGGAGTTCAAGACCAGTCTGGGCAACAAAGCAAGACCTTGTCTCTGCTAAAAATTTAAAAATTGGCCAGGCATGATGGTGTGCATCTGTAGTCCCAGCTACTCAGGAGGCTGAGGTGGGAGGATCACTGGAGCTCAGGAGTGTGAGGCTGCAATGAGCTATGGCCACTGCACTCTAGCCTGGACTACAGAGCAAGACTCTGTCTCAAAAAAAACAATAAAAATAAAAAATAGGCTGGGCACAATGGCTCACACCTGTAATTCCAGCACTTTGGTAGGGCAAAACGGGTGGATTGTTTAAGCCCAGAAGTTTAAGACCAGCCTGGGTAACATGGCGAAACCCCGTCTGTACGAAAAATACAAAAATTTGCTTAAAAAAATACAAAAAAGGCCGAGCACAGTGGCTCACGCCTGTAATCCCAGCACTTTGGGAGGCCAAGGTGGGCAGATCACCTGAGGTCGGGAGTTCGAGACCAGCCTGACCAAAATGGAGAAACTCCATCTCTACTAAAAAAATACAAAAAAAAAAAATTAGCCAAGCCTGGTGGCACATGCCTGTAATCCCAGCTACTCGAGAGGCTGAGGCAGGAGAACTGCTTGAACCTCGGAGGCAGAGGTTGTGGTGAGCTGAGATTGCACCATTGCACTCCAGCCTGGGCAACAAGAGTGAAACTCCGTCTCAAAAAAAGGAAAAAAAAAAATTAGCCAGATGTGGTGGCACATACCTGTGGTCCCAGCTACTCAGAAGGCTGACGTGGGAGAATCAGTTGAGCCCGGGAGGTCAGGCTGTGATGGCACCACTGCACTCCACTTGGGTGACACAGCAAGACCCTGTCTCAAAAAATAGGTAAATAAATAAGGCAGAGAGATCGTTGTTCTTGCCGCCACTGTGATGCCCCTTTCTGCTCCTCTGCTCCTCCAGGCCAACTCCAGGAGGGAAGGTGTATTAGTCTGTTTTCCCGCTGCTGATAAAGACATACCGGAGACAGGGAAGTTTACAAAAGAAAGAGGTTTATCGGACTTACAGTTCCATGTGGCTGGGGCGGCCTCACAATCATGGCAGAAGATGAAAGGCACGTCTCATATGGCAGCAGACAAGACAAGAGAGCTTGAGCAGAAAAACTCCCCCTTATAATGACCATCAGATCTCGTGTGACTTACTATAATGCGAACAGCATGGGAAAGACCTGCCCCCATGATGCAATTACCTCCCACCTGTTCTCTCTCACAACACATGGGAATTCAAGACGAGATTTGGGTGGGGACACAGCCAGACCATATCAGAAGGGCTCTATCTCAGACCTGCCCATTTGCCCTGACCTTGTGGCCATGGCAGCTGCTCCTGGGGAAAGGCGGGTCTGCATTCCTCCATAGCCTGAGAGGGGCTTATCTTCCCCCCGATTCCCAGTGTTGCAGAGGGGAAGACAGAATGTGGAAGAAAGGGGAGGCTGAGAGCCAGAGGAGAGCTTGCACCCTGCCCTGACCACGAGAGTTCCCTTTCCTGCCACACCAGTTGCAGGGCTGGATCCGAGTGATTGGGGCAGGTGTCCGGAGGAAACAGCCAGGCCGGGGCCAGGAGAGGCAAAACCAATGGGGCCTGAGCTGACACTGGCCCTGCTCTGGCAGCTTGTGTTCTGTGCCCTTGAGGCTGTGGCTGTAGACCATGTCCTCCATCAGGGACACCCCTTGAGCCTGCCCAGGGCATGGGTCCCGACCCTGGGAAGCCCTCTGTCCAGTGGAGACACCAGTCTCCCTGAGCCTAAGGAAGCCCATTGTGGAGGAAGGGCTTGGGAAGGAACCTAAGAAGAGGACAGTCCATCCTGGGTTTGAAAGGCTGTGGATGCCCGGATGGCAAGCAGGGCACTGTGCTGACCAAAGGCATGGTTGTGGAGATGTTACGAGTGGCCATCAGACTGGTCAGGTTGGGGCCCGGCTAACTCCTGCGCCTAGAGAGGTTGACGTGGCCAGACTAAGGGCAGCCAGGCCCAAAGGAGGAGGCACTCAGGAGCTCTGGGAGGGGTGCAAGCAGCAGAAGCCCAGGGAGAGCCTGGTTTGGGGTTTGTGAATCTAGCAGCAGTGAGTACAGGCTGGACTAGGGGTGAGGTGGAGGCAGGAGGCCAGGACTTGGGAGCTCCAAGGGTCCCATCTGGCCCAGGGAGGGCTGTCAGGCTCTGAACTGACCACACTCACTCTGGGCTCCTAGCTGACTCTCCCGGCACTGCCTACCCAAAGACTGGGTGCAGAGAGGAGCCCCCTAAGAGCCAGGGATGTGGAACAGTCGCAGGAGGCAGCTACAAGCTGCGTGAGCAAGGCTGTTCCCATGGACAGAGTTTTCTCAGGATGACAGGGAGTGAGCTCTGCGTCTCTGGCGTGTGCTAGCCTAGGAGGGGCAATCGCAAGGCGAATGTCACTGAAAGAACACAGGTGT